GTCTAGTGGAGAGACTGATAATAAAATAAAAAGGCTTTAAAAAAGCGTGGTATATTAATAAGTCCTTGGGGGAAAAAGAAATAGGAAAGGAAGATAGGGACTTTGGGAGGATAGGGTTGCAATTTTTAAAAAACTTGCTTAATGTTTATTTATTTTTGAGAGACAGAACATGAGTGGGGAGGGACAGAGAGAGAGGGAGACACAGAATCTGAAGCAGGCTCCAGGCTCTGAGCTGTCAGCACAGAGCCTGACGTGGGTCTTGAACTCATGAACCATGAGATCATGACCTGGGCTCAAGTCAGACTCACAACTGACAGAGCCACCCAGGTGTCCAAGGGTTGCAAATTTAAGTAGGGTGATTTGTGAAGGCTTCTCTGACAGGGAGCAAGTGATTAAAACTTGAAGAGATAGGGGAACATCTGGGTGGCTCAGTCGGTTGAGCATCTGACTTCGGCTCAGGTCATGATCTCACCGTTTGAGTTCAAGTATCGCAATGGGCTCTGTGCTGACAGCTCAGAGGCTGGAGCCTGCTTTAGATTCGGTGTCTCCCCTCTCTCTCTGCTCTTCCCATGCTCATGCTCTGTCTCTTTCTGTCTCTCAACAATAAATAAATGTTTAAAAAAGCACAAAAAAACTTGAAGAGGTAGATATCTGGGGGCAGAACATTCCGGGTGGAGCAAACAGTAAGTGCATAGGTGTGTTCAGGGGATTCAAACAGGCCAAGGTGCTAGAGGCAGGGGGTGGGAAGGGCACCTGGGATGAGACCAGGGAGGAAACCCTCATGAGGAGGAAGGCTTTTTCTTTAAAAAGGAGGAAGGAAGGAGGAGGAGGGAAGAGCTCTCTATGCAGGAGGAACAGTATTGGCACACAATAACTGAATCTCTGTGGCTGCTGCTGTTGAGAACAGACTGCAGGGCCCAAGAGATGAGTGGCGGGGCCAGACTGGTGGTAGTGGTGGAGGGGTGAGGAGTGGCTGGGCTCCAGATCTAAGATGAAGCTAGAGAGGATAGGATTTGCTGTTGGACTGGATGTGAGGTTTGAGGGAAGGTCGTAAATTTCTGAACATCAGGAAGGATACAATTATCTGGGGTGGGGAAGGCTGTAGGAGAAGCAGGTTTGGAGACAGGGGAGATGAGGAGCTCGCCTTGGACATGTCCAGTTAGAGCTGAATTTTGACCTTCTAATGGCGATAGTGGTTAGATGCTGATTGATTAAAAGAGACAGGAATGCATGGGAGGGCAAGGCTGGAAATCAGGATTTGGGAGTCATGATGTACAGATGGTATTTAAAGCCTTAGAACTGGATAACATCATCCAGAGAGTCAGTGTGGAAAGAAAAGAGCAAAGGCATGTGTGTGGGGGTGGAGGGGGAGCAGAGGAGACTGGGCAGCGATAGTTGGGGTGGTGAGAGAAAAACCAGCAAGGGGAGCCCAAGAGCCAAGTTTCACAGAGTTTCATAGAGGAGACGGTCAGCTGTAGCAAATGCTGATGGCACAATACGAACACTGCACAGTGACCACTGGACTTAGCAACATGGAAGCCACTAGTGACCTTGGCAGAGCAGTTTGGGTGAATGGTGGAGGTAAAGCCTAATTGGAGTGGGCTCTAGAGAGAGCCAGGAGAGTAGTTGGAGGTGAGTCTAGACAAATCTCTGGCAGTGTTTGCTTTACATTTTTTTTTTCAATGTTTAATTTTGAGACAGAGACAGAGCATGAGCAGGGGAGAGGGAGGGAGAGAAAGACACACAGAATCCAAAGCAGGCTCCAGGCTCCGAGCTGTCAGCACAGAGCCCGACACCCAGGCTCGAACTCATGAACCGTGAGATCATGACCTGAGCCAGAGTCAGACACTTCACCGACTGAGCCACCCAGGTGCTCCTGCCAGTGTTTGCTTTAAAGGGAAGGAGAGAGATGGGGGTCATAAATAAAGGGGATGGGAGGCAGCCAATTCCAAGAGAGAGATAAACATTGATGCAAGAGAGGAGAGAGTTCTTGGAACAATGACCTATGGCGGAGCACTTGATTTTCCAGTAGTGAGAACACTTTACTCATAGCAACAAGAGAAAGAACAGACATGTGTGCAGAGATGCAGCGAGGTAGGAGCTTGTGGAAGTTCTCCCTGCACCCCCCACCATGGGTTTTTTCTTTTAACTTGTGAAATGTATTTACAGAAAGGCACTCAAAACACATGTGTACCTTAAAAAAATTTTTTTTTAGTGTTTTATTTATTTCTGAGAGAGAGAGAGACAGCGTGAGCAGGGGAAGGTCTGAGAGAGAGGGAGATACAGAATCTGAAACAGGCTCCAGGCTCTGAGCTGGCTGTCAGCACAGAGCCCGACATGTGGCTCGAACTCACGAACTGTGAGATCATGACCTGAGTCGAAGTCGGAAGCTTAACCGACTGAACCACTCAGGTGCCCCCATGTGTACCTTTTTATGAATAAAGTACTTATGTAACCATCATCTAAGGCAAAATAAAAAGGACTTTATTAACACCCTAAAAAATCTTCCCAGTGATCCTCTGCAATCAGAACTCTTTCCTAGATGTAACCACCATTTGGCCTCACTGATAACAGTTTAAAAATTAATTTTACCACCTAAATGGATTTCTAAATAATTTTTGGCTGTTATTTAACATCACTTGGTTTTTAAAAACTTAATTCCCTCCCAGCTTTATTGACATATAGTTGGCAAATAAAACTGTAAGATATTTATTCATTTATCTATTGATGTATTTATTGAAGTACGATAGATGTACAATGTTATATTAGTTTCAGGCTTACAGCACAGTGATTTGGTCATTCTATACAGTACTAGGTGCTCACCACATGAGATATTTAAAGTGTACAGTGTTATGATTTGATACATGTGTACATTGTGAAATAGTTCCCTTTGAGTTAATTAACACATCCATCACCACCCATATGTATGTATGAATGTATTTATTTTATTTTAAGTAGGGTCCACACCTAGTGTGGAGCCCAATGTGGAGCTTGAACTTGAGCCTGAAATTGAGACCTGAGCTGAGATCAAGAGTCAGATGCTTAACTGACTGAACCACTCAAGTGCCCCGTATTTACTTTTTTTGCATGTGAGAACATTGAATTTCTCCTCTTTTATCAAAATTTAATTACACGCTGCCGTGTGATCAAGTACAGTCACCATGTCACACGTTACAGCCCCAGATCTTATTTATCATATAACTAAAAGTTCGTGCCCTTTTATCACCTCTATTTCCCCCATGGCCGGCCCCTGCCTGGCAACCAATTTTCTACTCTTTGTTTCCAGGATTTCAACTTCTTCTTCTTATTTTTTTTTAAATTCCACATAGAAGTGAAACCATGAGATATTTGTCTTTCTCTGGTTTATTTAACTTCATTTTTAAAGTTTATCTTTATTTACTTTGAGAGAAAAAGAGAGACAGAGAGTGCGCAAGCAGGGGAGAGGTAGAGAGAAAGGGAGACAGAATTCCCAGCAGGCTCCGCACCGTCAGTGTCAGCGCAGAGCCTGATGTGGGGCTTGAACTCACAAACGGTGAGGTCATGACCTGAGTCGAGATCTAGGTGGGCACCTAACTGCCGGAGCCACCCAGGTGCTCCTTATTTTCATTTCATTTGAATGGAACCCTACTACCTATAGTCTGTTTTGTTTCCATCCTTTGTTCAACGTTATGTTTGTGAACATCATTCATATCTTCTCTTTTTCATGATCTGTGATCTTGTTTTTAATTATCTTAAGCTTTACCATATAATTTACAAATTTGTGCTGATGTTGTATCTCTTCTACTTTAATCCTTCTAATGAGCTGGCAAAAGCACAATTACCAATCACCCGTACGCGGTAATTCTGCAGTTGTGTTCCTGAACAGCTGTTTAGAAGACAATCCTCAATTGTAACTTACTCTGACTTAGTAAGAATTCACAAGCCAAGTTTGCTACTATAACTTGTCACACTGAATTTTAAAAGCATTTGAGCTTATAAATCATCTGTAAAATGTGAGAAGCATTAAATATTCTTTATTTAATATTATACACAAACCATACTAAAATGCCTTTTATTAAGCAAAAGGCAACATTTAAGATGCAGGGAATTTTATTTTATTTTATTTATTCAAAAACATTTCTTAATGTTTATTTATTTTTGAGAGAAAGAGAGAGAGAGAGAGAGAGAGAGAGAGAGAACACAAGTGGGGGAGGGGCAGAGAGAGAGGGAGCTACAGTATCTGAAGCAGGTTCCAGGTTCCAAGCCATCAGCACAGAGCCCGGTGCGGGGCTCAAACCCACAAACCATGAGATCATGACCTGAGAGGAAGTTGGACACTTAACCAACTGAGCCACCCAGGTGCTCCTAGATGCAGGGAATTTTAATTAAATTGGCACAGCTAAGATCAAAAAGGTAAAGTGGACATTGCCAGCTTATCTTCAGCCCTTACCTTTAATAGGCTGAGGAACACAACCTGAGACACAGCTAAATCTTGCTGTTCTATGAGACAGTGAAGGGATTTCCTCAGTATTTAAATATATTAATATGACCAGTTATATAAATCTAAATATAAAACCAAACTCCTACAGGTTTAGAGGTGACATTTACCATCTCTATGAAAGGATGAACATTACTGATCAATTTCAATCCTTTTATTTTTTTTTTTAAGATTTTATTTTTAAGTAATCTCTGTACCCAGTGTGGGGCTCGAACTTACAACCTGAGTCAAGAGTCACAGGCTCCACCGACTGAGCCAGCCAGGCACCCCTCCAATCATATCTCTAGAAGGGGAAACCAGTGACAGCACTTGCTGAACCAGAATTACTATCAAACTTCTAAAAGCTGATCGATCACATGCATTTAACCACAAGCCAAACTTATTTACATCAGGATTGTCCAAAAGAAACATTTTATCAGTCATTCATGATCTGAATTCTGGTGTATGAGATCAATTTAGATATGGTACACATAAAAGAAATCATGAGACATTTTTGTTTTGTAATAAATAAGGCAGTGGCCAACTACTCTTTAGCAGCTTTTTTGAGATAAGCTATCAAATCTGCCCTCTCTCCTCTCTTCTTAATGACAGTGAAGATAATTTTTGTCCCAGGAATGTACTTCTTGGGATTCTCCAAATATTCCATCAGTGTCTCTTCTTCCAAGGTGATGCCTTTGCTTTTGTTGGCATCCAGGTAAGAAAATCCAGGGTCCTGGGGGTGCCTGGCTGGCTCAGTCAGTTGAGTATCTGAGTCTTTTTTTTTTTTTTTTTGAGTATCTGAGTCTTGATTTCAGCTCAGGTCATGATCTCACAGTCCTGCGAATGAGTTCCATGTTGGGCTCTGTGCTGAGTGTGGAGCCTGCTTAAGAATCTCTATCACCCTCTGACCCTCTCCCTGACTTGCATGCTTTCTCTCTCTCTCTCAAAAGTAAAAAACCTCGGGGCGCCTGGGTGGCTCAGTCGGTTAAGCGTCCGACTGCAGCTTAGGTCATGATCTCACAGTTCATGGGTTCGGGGTCTGTGCTGACAGCTCAGAGCCTGGAGCTTGTCTTTGGATTCTGTGTCTCCCTCTCTCTCTGACCCTCCCCTGCTCACACTGTCTCTCTCTCTCTCTCTCTCTCTCTATCAGAAATAAACAAAACATTAAAAAAAAAAAAGTAAAAAAACCCAGAGGCCTGGTCTGCTTTTTGTCCAAATAAACCATGGAAACTTGGCTCAGTCTTGTTGCTTCCCTTTTCCATGGTATGGCCCTGGGCACACTTCTGAACAAAAATCTTCTTGCCCTCTTCAACATCACCTGTTTTTAAATTGTTCTTTGTGCAAGAAACAGAGGTACCTGCTCATAAGGTGGACATCCTGCTCTCTAAGCATTCATATTTTCTAGAGTTTTAGCTTCTCTACGTGTCTGTCTTTTGTGCACATGTGTGGAAGTGTCTCTAGGGTATAGTGGAATCGCTGGCGTATCCCAGCTTGAATAGATGGTAGCAAGCTGTTTCCAGAGTGGATGTATGAATTTACACTCTGATAGTTTTGTTTGATGGATGTCTAATGGTTTCTCCTCTTAGTTTTAATTTGCATTTCCCTCATCACTGACGGATTTTCTTTTTTGAAAAGTGCCTGTTCGGGGCGCCTGGGTGGCTTAGTCGGTTAAGTGTCCGACTTTCGCTTAGGTCATGATCTCGCGGTTCGTGGGTTCGAGCCCCACGTCGGGCTCTGTGCTGACTGCCAGCTCAGAGCCTGGAGCCAATTTCAGAGTCTGTATCTCCCTCCCTCTCTGGCCCTCCCCTGCTCACGCTGTCTCTCTCTCTCTCCTAGAAATAAATTTTTAAAAAAATATTAAAAAAAAAAAAAAGAAAAGTGCCTGTTCAAATCTTTTGCCCATTTTTCTATTGGGTTGCTATTGTAGTTCTTTATTGGTCCATAAAAAACCACCCCAAAACTTAATGGTTTAAACAGCAACAATAATTTACTTTGCTCATGGAACAGGACTTGGCCTCAGCGGGGATGATTCAATGGCTGCTACCTGGACCAGCTGGAGAATAGCTTCCTCACAGCATCAAAGTATCAAGGTAATTAGACTTCTTACATTGTGGCCAGTTGCCCCCACAGCAAACGCTGCAAGAGGTGTAGGTGGAAAATGCAAGGCTTCCTTTGATCTAGCATTGCATGTCCCAGCTGTGTTCTATTTGTCAAATGTGGGGTGCCTGTCAGGCTCAGTTGGTAGAGTGTGTGGCTCTTGATGTTGGTGCTATGAGTTCAAGCCCCATTTTGGGTGTAGAGTTTACTTAATACTTGTCAAACGAGTCACTAAGGCCAGCCCAGATTCAAGGGAAGGGGAATTGGATTCCACCTTGCAATGAGAGGAACAGGAAAAATTTATAATCATTTTCATCTCCTGTAGTTGTATAGCTTTTCTTATTGATTAGTAGGAGTTTTGTATATATTCTGTGTTAGTCTAGTGTCAGTTACATGTTTTGGGATGAGCTCTTCCGTTATGGCTTTCTTTTTACTCTTTTTATGTCTTTCCCCCTCTTTGTGGCTAATACTTTTTGAATCTTGGTTAGGAAGTTTTTCTATCACTCTGAGTCATGCAAATATTCTCTTAAAAACATTCTAACTTTCTGGGGTGCCTGGGTGGCTCAATACGTTAAGCGACTGACTTTGGCTCAAGTCATGATCCTGTGGTTCATGAGTCTGAGCCCCACATGGGCTCTGTACTGACAACTCAGAGCTTGGAGCCTGCTTCAGATTGTGTGTGTGTGTGTGTGTCTCTCTCTCTCAAAAAAAAAAAACAAAAAAAAACCCTAAACATTAAAAAAAAAACTTTTTAAACTTCTACAAGCGTTCTAATTTTGTCTTGCTTATTTAAGTATTTAATTCACTGAGAATTTACTTTAGTGTGTGGTGGTGAAGTAGTAGTTTTTTTCCCATATTTTTATTTAAGTAGCATCTATTAAGAATAAAGTTTCTCCACCGCTCTGTGGTGCCACTTAAGCCAGATATCAACTGTTTGTTTATATATGTGTCCTTTCTGGGCCCTCCATTCTGTTCCATTCTATTTGTCTGTCCTTAGCTCATGAATACCAATGAACTTCTTTTGCATTGTTAATAGGTCTTACTATCTGGTAAAGTAAGTTTTTTCCATCTTGTTCTTTAAGAGTGACCTGGAGATTGCGTCCTCTGCATGACATCCTCCAACAATATGTCGCAGCCCCAGGCCCTATGTGACTGCACTTGAACGTGGGCCCTCTCAGGAAGTGCTTATGGATAAATGAGGCCATAAGGGTGGGGCTCGCATTCTTTAGGATTAGTGTCCTTGTAAGAAGACACCCCAGAACCAAGCTCACTGTCTGCCCTGTGAGGACACAGCTGGAGCCAGTCACCAGCCCCAGGAGCTCTGGCCTGAAACCTGCCCTGCCAGCCCTGGATCTGGCACCTTCCAGCCTCCAAAACTGTAAGCAAATAGACCTCTGTCATTTAAGGCACTCAGTCTCTAGGATTTTGGTGTGGGAGCCTGAGCAGAAGAATGCACTAAGAAATATCAACATTTCATACATTTTATTATTTGCCTTTACATTTGAAGAGAAGTTGTCAAAAGAAATGACTTTTGGAATGAAATATCTAGAAGGCTAAGCATCAGTTTGTTAACAGAGGGCTACCTCAAGAAACAAGCCAAAATACACATGGTGGAGACTCCCAAATACCACTACGAGGAGGAAAATCAAATAACCAAGGTCTCAACAAGAGAGAACAAGAGATACCATTCAAAGAACACTTTCTGAATGCACAGGCCCTGAACAGTCAAAGAGGCTTCTTTGGTACAGCAACGCTCACAGGTGCAGAGTACGTAGCAAGCTTTTAAAACCAACAAGAGATAGAAAGTTAACCAAAATAATGAAACAAAAGAGCTCTCCTCAAAAGAAATTCCAGGAAGAATTGACAGCTAAAGAACTGCTCAAAACAGATATAAGCAAAATAACTGAACAAGAATTTAGAACAATAATCATAAAAGTAATCACTGGGCTTGAAAGAAAAGCATGGAGGACATCAGAAAAACTATGGCTACAAACACTATGGAGCTTCAAAATAGTTATGATGAATTAAAAAATGTGATAAATGAGATACATAATAAACTGGAGACAACTAATGCACAGATTGAAGAGGCAGAAAGGAGAATAAGTGATATAGAAGACACAATTATAGAAAAAGAAGAAACCGAGAAAAAAGACACAAACTGATCCAGGAACATGAAAGAAGAGTTCGAGAGCTCAGCGATACAATGAAATGGAACAATATCCATATCATAGGAATTCCAGAAGAGGAAGAGAGAGGGAAAGGTACTGAAGGAGTCCTGGAACAAATTATAGCAGAGAACTTCCCCAACTTGGGGAAGGAAATATATGCTGAAATTCAAGAGGCACAGAGAACTCCCCTCAGATGTAACTTGAATGAGTCTTCTGCATGACATATCATAGTGAAACTGGCAAAATATAAGGACAGAGAGAGAATTTTGAAAGCAGCTATGGAGAAAAGGACCCTAACATACAAAAGGAAACGTATCAGAGTGGTGACAGACCTATCTACTGAAACTAGGCAGGCCAGAAAGGAATGGCAGGAGATCTTCAATGTGATGAACAGAAAAAATATGCAGCCAAGAATCCTCTATCCAGCAAGCCTGTCATTCAGAATAGAAGGAGAGATAAAAGTCTTTCCAAATAAACAAAAAATGAAAGAATTTGTCACCACTAAAGCAGACCTACAAGAAATCCTGAGGGAAATGTTGCAAGGAACACAAGATGCTAGAGACACCACCACAAGCATGAATCCCACAAACGACACAATGACTCTAAACCCATATATTTCAATAATAACACTGAATGTAAATGGACTAAATGCCCCAATCAAAAGACATAGGGTAGCAGAATGGATAAAAAAGAAACCGCAAAATCCATCTATTTGCTGTCTACAAGAAACTCATTTTAGACTGGAGGACACCTTCATATTGAAAGTAAGGGGATGGAG